CTGCGGAGGTCGGCAGCGGGCGGCCGAGAAGGGTGCCTGAGCGTTTGTCGCCCAGACTTGAGCGTCGTCGGGGCGGGGACGGTCGGAGGCGTGGGGACTGGGGACTCTGGCCGCGGGGTGGTCGGACCGGACTTTCGTTTCCTTGTCTTTTTGAAGGCTGAACTCCGAGCAGCTGTGTTTTTAGCGCTAGAAGAGCAAGAGAAAGTAGAGGTACGAAGCCTGCCGTGAGACGACCGCGTTCTGACTTCTGATGACTCAAAAACCTTTCTCAACCGCAGTGCCCAACCCCGCCCGGCCGGTGGGAGTCCCAACGGGTGGGCGTTGGATTCCTGGCGAGGAGGCCGGGACGACTCTCTTTCCGTGTGCCTTTGAAGGTTCGGGTGCCCAGTTACCGAGACCAGAGTAGAATCTGGAACTAGAGGCTGTTGGAGTTATTGGGGACGGGGTTCTGCTGTCGAGAGTCATGTGGGGACGGGGTTCTGCTGTTGGGGGGGTCAGGTGGGGATGAGGTTCTGTTGTGAGGGATCAGGTGGGGATGGGGTTCTGCTGTCAAGGGTTGCCAAGGATGGCTTAGAACTTCTAGTAAGCTAATACACGTGTGAAGGCCTGTGAGGTAGGGAGTCTATAGTGTACAGCCGTTTCCAAAGTTACTGAGCACTCCGTTATTTTAAAGTCATCTCCACCTTTCTTGTCAAAAGTGCAGCTGCTTTTCTGTATTTGAGTGGGCAATTTAACTTTTTCCCAGCTCCACCAACTGCCCATCAGCAAGACTCGATCCATCGCCAAGGTCTACACTGTTGCTCTGTGACAAGTCAGGCTCCTGTCCCCCACATCTTTAGACTTGTCTGCCTGCCCTTCAATTTTGTCCAGCCTTTGATTCTCTGCTGCCCGTGTTTGTCCAGGCATCCGTCTTCTCCAGGCTGTTTTTTGTTCTGACCCCGTGGTCCATACCTCAGAGACCCTTACCACTCTGCTTCCAGTCAGACTTGGTCCATTAAATGGTCATTTAACCCAGCAGGTGGCCTGTCTTCCCTGCTTGTGCATATGCGCTGATGGAGAAAAGCCTCTCAGCCCTGTGGATTGCTGGAGTTAAACAGTGGATTCCAAAACAGCCGCTCTACACTCACCTTCCCACCTTAGTCCTGCTTCCTTCCCTTTGGACAGATGGTCTCTTTCTTCACAGGCAAAATAGAAGCCACCAGGTCCTAACTTGAGGTCCTCTTCCTCCAGCCCCCAGTCTGCCGCTCTCCTCTGAAAAGCTTACCTGTGTCTGCGTTTATCTGTTTCTCTTTCCTTCCTGCTTTAGTAGAAGAGGGTCCTTCTTGTCCAGGAAGAATCACTTTGCCTTCCATCTACTCATCTCTTTAGTTATTTACTATATCTTTGGCCTCTTGCTTTCTGTTGGCTCTTAAGCATGAAAACATGTTTGGATCACTTTAAGGAGAAGACTGCTTTTCTTTTTTTTTTGAGTCAGGGTCTCACTCAGGCTGGAGTACAATGGCATGATTGCAGCTCGCTGCAGCCTGGACATTCTGGACTCAGATGATCCCTCTGCCTCAGCCTCCCAAGTAGCTGGACTACAGATGTGCACCACCATGCCCAGCTGAAAAGTATTTTTCTTTAATCATATTCTGCTTTCAGTTACATTTTTTTCCCCCCTCATAGTCACATTTTGAAAGAATGTACATGTCTTACTCCATTTCTTATGTTCAGGGCTCCCTTTAATCCTTTAAAATCGTAAATCTACCACTACTACTTCTAAGTAATTTCTCTTGCTGCAGTCAAGAAGAATTTCCTAAATTGATGTGATTCAGTGCTTACCTATCTTGGTTGATTCTTCTGGCATCTGAAGTTCCTAATTCCTCTTTCCTTCTCGATACTTGCCTGTGACCTTGGAACCTTCAACTCTTCTGTTTTCCTTTTGACACTCTCTGCTTTCTTTAACATCTTTTTCCCATACACCTCACTTGGATGGTTGGGGCATACTCGAAGTTCTCTTGCTGTATTCTCTGGTCAGGTGACTTTAATCACACCAGTAACCAGCCCTGTATCTTTCAGCTCTCTCCCAAGCTGCAGACTTGTGTTTTAAACTGGCTACTGGTTGACTTTCTGCGACCGTCACTTATCTCAGCGAGACACTCCAGCATTCCCTGGGCCTTGCTCTTCTTTCTGCCTCCTCAGTCGGCACCTGGCTCCATGTCAGGTCTGTATCTGAAGTGTCCCCGAGGGAGGGCCGTGCTGTGCATTCTGTGCTCATGTATTTCTTTTCCAGGTTTCTTCACCCCTTTCTAGCTATCCCAACTCCCCTTTGTTAGTGTCCCTCACTGTCTCCACATTGCTTTTAAACTGGCTATCTGTAGTACGCATCTGATTTTGTCTCTCTATCTTCTTTAAATATTTCAGTTGACTCTGTGTCTTCAAATTCCCCGATTGAGCTTACCAAGGGCCTCTGTGACCTTTCCCCTTCTTGTTTTGGGTTTTAACAACTTCATTGAAGTGTAATTGACCTGTGGCAAACGTTCATATTTAAAATGTACTGTTGGATCAGTTTTAATGGTTAATTCCTATAACTGTGAAATGATCACCCCCCGCAGGATAGTGCACATCGTGACCCTCAAGAGTTTCCTTGTGCTCTTCTATAACCTCCCCACCCCAACCAAGACCTTTTAGCAGCTACACAAATGGAATCAGACTGTAGGCACTGTTTTTGGTGGTCTAGCTTCTTTTTTCAACATGACACATTTGAAATTTGTTCATATTGCAGTTTGTTACTAGTTCATTACATTTACTCCTGCATTTAGGATTGATAGATTGTTCCATTAGTCCATTGCATGCATATGACGGTTTGTTTAGCCACTCATCTGTTGATAGACGTTTGGGGAGTTTCTAGGTTTTGAGTATAATTGTAAATAAGACAGCTGTGAACATCATCATGCACAGCCTTTGGTTGAATGTGTGATTTCTTTTGAGAAAATGCATAGGAGTGTAATGACTGGATCACAACCAGGGCTATTTTTAACGATTGGGAAAAACTACCCAACTCCTTCCAGACAAGTTATGCCATTTTGCATTTCCATTAGCGGGAAATGAGGCTGCCACCCTGACGACAATTCGTGTGCTCATGTAAGGAAGCTTACCACATGCTACCTCGTTCAGCTTCATTCTTGGCAGTAATTACAGGTTTGGTGTGCTAGAAGAATTTTTTCTAAATTTATTCAGATTAATGTGTAGTCACAAAAATAAGTTGGCCTATGGGTCACATAAAATCGTCTCACATACCTTGAATAAACTGAAAATTGCCAGCATATCATTAAACTCCTGTCCATAGTAAGTATACTATAAGTGGTAGAAATCTAAGATGACAGAATATCAAATTTCTCATATTTGAGATAATAAACAGTTGTTTACATAAGCAAATTTAATTTTATTTTACACACGTGTTGGAAGAACCTAACTTTGAAACCAGTTTAATAAGCAATTTATGCAACATTTAAAAATTAAAAATAAATACAAATCTTTATATATGACTTCATTTTATTAACTTTGAGAATTATTAACTAGCACAAAATAAATCCTGTAGTGATCAACAGTTGTGGAATGGATAATTTTATGGATGAAAACATATTCAACTTTAGTGTATATTTTAGAGCTGTTTTTAGGTTAAACACATGACACTTAAAATATTTCATTTTCTTTAACAGAACAAAACTCCTTTAGTCAATGAGAGCCTGAAAAAGTTTTTAAATACGAAAGATGGTAAGATGGTCAACTTGTTCTTGTTTATTTTATCTGTGTCTGAACTTTTGAATCTTGACACCATTTGGGAGAAGTCAGGAATGTTAGATTTTTAAAGTCTACGATTCTTATAGGTCTTCATTTTAAAATAATATATATCATTGTGTAACAATTATTTTACTATTAGATATTTTGGGTCATGGGAAATTTTTGGTTAAAACTAATTTCACTATAAAAAGCCAGTTTTAACTATAAAAAGCAGAACACTGAAATCTATTTATAAAATGTTACAATGTCTTACAATTACTTCCAGACTGATGATCCTAGTGAAAAAAATTGGGAGATTGAGATTTTCATTACTTAATCTTATTATTCAGAGAAGAAATTTGTAATTTAAAAAATTTAGAAATTTCCTTTTTTCTGTCAGTGTTGTATGTCTTATTTCACTGTGCTAACACAAAGACGTCAAAGTTTTAAAAGATTTGCTTACCCACTTTTTTCTTGATTTTTTTTTTTTTTTTGTAGGTCGTTTAGTGGCTAGTCTTGTTGCAGAATTTCTTCAGTTTTTTAACCTTGACTTTACCTTGGCTGTTTTTCAACCTGAAACTAGCACAGTAAGTGTAATGATTTTTACATCTATTCTGTGAAGCCTTCTTTGTTACAAATGAGTTAATTTTAAGCTGAAAGTTAATACGACTTGACAACTTACAGTTGCTTGCATTTAGTGGTTTTTTTTATTTGTAGTTGATTATCTCTTTTTCTTAAAAGCCATCTGAACTTTCAGATAGCTGGCATCAGTGTTGCTGTTCATTTAATTTGAAAGCTTGCTAATAAAAGAGTGTCACTATAGAATTAATTTTGGTCTGCTGTTAGATTGACCTGTTAATGGAGACGGAACATAGAGGCTCTGTAAAAGAAATAGATATACTTTAAAATGGGCATTTTATTCATTATAAAAATAGTGTTTTTGAGTTTAGAGATGTCTTTAAGGCCTGAAAATATTTTCTTTAATCCCTGAAAATACCTTTGCTATAATTTTGTGTACCTATGTCTTTTTTTAATTTGTTTTCTAGTTTCAAGGTCTTGAAGGCCGAGAGAATTTAGCCCGAGATTTAGGTATTATTGAAGCAGAAGGTACTGTGGGTGGACCCTTATTATTAGAAGTGATCAGACGCTGTCAACAGAAGGAAAAAGGCCTAGCCACTGGGGAAGTAAGTAGCATCCTATGTTATCTTTTTCTATTTGAATTGTTGACGACTTAGGTTAGCCATGCAGATTAGTGCATATATACTGTGAGTAAAGTTTCCACAAAAAGAGGTTATTTCTTAAGAACAAAGTGAAATACACTCAGATGATATAAATGCAATTTTAATAAACATTGGACACGCGCTGGCTCTGACCCTGCTATGCTCTGGATATTGTTGGGCTATTGTCAGTGTCAGGTTCATGAGCCACACCGTCGGGACAAACTCCAGCTGCTTGCTGTCTGGCTGGAGCCCTTTCCATCCTCGTGAAGTGGGACAGCAGGCCCTGCCTCAGTGGGTGCTGTGAAGCTTCTATGTATGAGCTGACTGAGGACATTCAGCCAGCTTTTATTTTTATTATTATTTTAGGTAAATATAAAAGGGCTGATTCATAGAACAGTTAATAAGTTTTTGGATTCAAAGGTTTTTTTAAACTAGACTTAAAACTAAGCGGTTGATTTTGCTTTAAACTGTTCAGAAACAGTTTCAAGCTTCTGTTTAGATTAGCAGTTGCCTTACTCTTAACCTTTCTTTTTAGAATTCCTGCTAATGAGATTAATGGTCTAATTTCTGTTTACACGCATCAGTTTTACATAGATAATCTGTTTAACAGACATAGACAACATCTATAACTATTACAGATATCTGATTACATGTGTGCCTTCATGGGAATTCATAAGTAAGAAGGGGTTATGGACTTGCTGCTTATTTATTCTTATTAATGACTTATTTAGAGTCTCAGAGTATATTTTCTTTTCTTTTTTTTTTTTTTTGAGTTAAGAGTGAGACTCTGTTGCCCAGACTAGAATGCAGTGGCCGCTCCTGGCCACCGCAGCCTCGACCTGCTGGACTCCGGCGATCCTTCCGCCTCAGCCTTCCAAGTAGCTGGAACTACAGGCGCGTGCTACCACACCCGGCTAATTTTTT